TAAGAACTGGAGCCCGTTTTTCACCACCCTGTCTTATTTTCTTTGTGCAGCTGAAGCTGTTGAATCTGTACATCAAGCGTGCCCAGTCTGGCTCTGCCGGCGGCGAATCTTCAGTCGACGTTCTATAGAAGTCAATCCTGCCAGAGTGGGACCACAGAACGGCTACTGTCCCCAGCCAACATGAAACACTCTCTCCTCTGATCACACCTACTCTTTTTTTTTTATTATTATTCCTAGAAAGATGCTGCCCAGCCTCAAAGGTACGACCCACCCGGCTCTGCAGCAAACTAACACATAAAACTGGTTTTAAATTAAGTGAACAATGTCCAGCCCTTTCAGATGGATCCCAGGTGGTTTTTCATTTCTGCAAGCTCACGTTTGATCAGCCCCATTTCTGAGGATGATGGGTGTAATGCTGCTTTATACATGAAGTATGACCAGACATGGCTAATGATCACTTAGTGGACATGTATATCTATATGATAATAAAATGGATTATTCAATAACCATCCCTCCCACCCAGCCTGGGGTGCTAGAACGCACCCTCACCCATCCATCCATGTTTTATTTCTCTCCATTGCGTGTGCTGTAGTCTTACACTCACTGTTCTTTTGTTTAAATTTGTAGAAATGTATTATTTACAGATCTGGAAAAAAAAATGTCACGTTTTAAGTTTTCTCGTTTTCTTGTGCACTGTATTTCTTTATAACATTCTAGTTTTCTTTGTGCATTTAAAAAGCTGTGCTTACAACGAAATAAAGAACTTGTACAGATCATGACTACACACATTCATGTTTAAAGATTCATGTTTTTATTTCTTTACTTGGTTCAATTATTTTTAGGGTTCTTTATAGATGTGTGATGGAAGATATAATGTTAAAAGAAAAGTTAGTTAAGTTGTGTTTTTAACAGATGTTTCTTGTTTTGAGAAATCTAAGTATATTTTAAACTATTAAAGAAAAATGCTAATAATTTAGGACTAACTTAGAAATATACAAAGCTAGACCAAGTATTTTTTTATATATATACATTTAAATTTTCAAATTATAAACTCCACCTCACCCACAGTGTTAGGGATCAATGCTTAGCTTATAAAAAAGTTGTTGAAAAATAAAATAAACTGTAAATTTGTAAAAATCCAAGTTAAAATAATACAAATTTGTGCCAAAAACAGTTTGGCTCGTTGTCAGGCTGTTGTATCAGGCTCTATCTTTAAGGCAAATGGATTCCAGTGTTCAAAAATCCAATAAAAAGGGGGGGAAATAAATGGGGGAAAAAAAATTTTTTTCTTTAATTTTTATCAATTATAGTATATTTCTGATTTTAAAAAGTCAAAAAAATGACTCCCCAATTTCTTTTCAAATTTGTCACGACAATTGTAAACAGAAAAACTGATTAGGTTTAAGTGATGAATATGAAGAACCTTAATTTAATTTTAGTAATTCCGCAGAAAGCTGTGCTAGCAGAAAAAATTGGAGGGTAGGAGGTTAGCATGCAGTCATTAATTCTAAAGTGGCCTCACTCGTATGTAGTGCAAAAGATAACATTTAAGCCTTATGCAACATGGCTATTTGAGTTAGTGGTGCTGAATTTCAGTTATGCATCTGTTCTTTCTCTGGGCCGTATATTTAGGAGCTGCTGAAGAGAGTACCAGACTTGGCATCAAGCTGACCTGTAAACCCCTTGGCTTCCATGTAAGCAGTGAGAGCCACATCAGAAACAATCACAAGGCTTTGCTAAAGAATTCCAATCTACCATTTTTCACAAGCTGAAATTAAAACCAGAGATTTTTACGTTTTTTTCTTTTTTTTCATAAATCTAAATGTTCAGCTTCTCCACAGCATTATGATGCTGTTCATGAATGTTCATCATGGATTTATCATTAAACTACAGGTTAATTTAGGTTGAAGTGCTTACTTATGTTTTTTTGTATCAATATTTAACAATTATGAAATATTTTAGGCATATATTTAAATAAAAGTACTCCTTTCTATAACTGAAATCTCGATTATAATGTAAATTGTAGTTGACAATAAAGAAATTGATTGATAACAAAGTTAACTCGGGCATCAAATAATCAACCAAAAAAAAAAAACAGAAAAGACATTCCTATCTTTCTGACAAAAAACAAAATGCACCACAAATATACATGAGTCTACTATATGAAATTTTCACTTTCTTAATAACTGACTTTATTGATCTCACATTGGAGAACTTTACTCTGCATTGGACCCATCTGTGCAGGGAGCAGTGTGTTGTCAAAGGTCTTGCTCAGGAACCCAGACTGCAGGCTGTGGGGTTTGAACAGGGTATTTGCAACCTTCTCAGAACACAAGCACACTGCTCTAACCACTAGGCCAACACTCACCTTGTCAAATCAGATCAACTTTCATATCCAGAGGCGTAGCCAGAAATTTTTTATAAGGGTGGCCAGGCAATAACAAATGTACACTGAGGGGTGGCCAAAAGTGGATAGGCACCAGAACCTTAGGGTCAAGCCAAAGATAAAACAAACTATACTTTCCTACAGCCTGTGCTAAGAAATAGACATACCGGTATATTTAAACGTCCGTGCTTTCTAGTTAAAAGGTATAGTGGATAAAATTCTTTCAGGTTTGAGTTCTGGGGCAAACATCTTTTCCATTGTCATTACTTCCCTACTTTTATCGATAATCATTCTGCCTAAAATTTATATTTACAACTACTAATATCTAAATAAATTGATTATTAAGTTTTTATTAAAATAGTTATTTATCTATGATTTCACAGAAGACTCCTAGATGACTTACACATAATTTTCTCTTTACCCCATTTAACACAAAATCTAATTCTGAAAAGAGCATGAATTCTGTTAATGTTAGTATATTGATGTGTATAATTAACCACAGTGTCGTCAAGAAATTATGAATACTTGAATAATAAAATTATTTATTAATAAAATTATTATTATGAATAATAAAAATGGTAAGTAATATATGAAAAATTAAAATGATTATTCCACTTGAGAGTATTGCTGCTGCCAAAGTCTGTATTAGAGGGAAAAAATGGTAGGGTGGCTAATGATTGGCTAAGGGGGGCCATGGCCACCCCTGGCTCCCATCTAGCTCCGGCCCTGTTTATATCTAATCCAATGTTTTATCTTGAAAGAATAGACCTGTTTATTTTTACAAAGAAGAGAAGCACGCAGTTTTTCCTAAAGTCTTTATTTTAGGAAAACACGAAATAAAATAAGAATCCAACAAATATTTGCTATAATTGTTTAATATAGCTTGAATTAACCTAATTGGATCAATATATTATTAATGACAATACTTAAATATTTTATTAAGAATGCAAATCAATCAATTTTTGCATAATTACAATTTTAATCTGCACCATTCAATCATGGAACCTGAAACCTGATTGGTTAATCAGCGCAGCAGTATTACTATAATCCAATCACCTTGTCTCTATAAAAGGGGATTATTTAGGCCACTTAGCTATGAAATGATTTCCATGCTTCTATCACATGATTTAAAACTTGTTTCCACAATATATTTTATTCAACACATGGTATTATAAATATGTCTGTTCAATTAGCACTTTAACTCTCATTGAATTTATACTGGACCCTTATATATGAAGAGATCACTATGCTGGATTTCCCAAGAAGCTGGTCTCTAATTAAATGGTGAGGCGGGTCGACCCCTTCGGTCCAAAATAGCACCTGTACCCTGCTCAAAAAAATACTTTAAACACCCTCCCCTGCAGACTTACAGCAAAGCCAGGCTGCGGCTAATGAATGCTAGCAGGGCAGTGCTGTGGAAAGCAAAAACAGAGATAAATATCAGAAGTTTGTGGTAGTTGAGCCTCTCGGTGACATGAATGAAAGGATTCTGCTCAGTTTTGGATCTTTGTGGTGCTGCTCGGGCTGAATCGCGTTGATTTTTACAGCAGGACTGGATCGGAGCCTGTAGACAGCTGTTGGGAAGCACACATGTTGTTCTGGCAGTCATACACCGAAAACTTCCGGGCTCCGCTGCAGAGACATGGCGGCGGAGACGGCAGCAGCTACACACGGTAAGGTTATCATCAACCTGACTCTGCACTGCTCATATTTTTGTTGACAGTAACTAGTTTGTTAATATAAAGTTTCTCTGAAAGTCAAACACAGTGATGTGTTAGTCGAAACGATCCGATTCAACGAACCAGTTCCCTTATGTGAACCATGAAAGCTGGTCCGGATCACATGTTCACATTCACGAACTTGTTTGTATGCTGTAAATCAACTGCATTTTACTTATAAGAAGTTGATGAACTTTTATGATTGCTTTCTATTTATTTATCAAGTTTTATAAAATTGTTAATTAAATTAATGGACTTTTTTTTTATTAGTTGGTTTAGTCTATGAATTCCCAAACCAGTTTGTTTGGGATAGTTATGCTGATGACACACATTTGTCTTGAGGTAAATTTAAATAAAAGATTAAAAAAAAAATGCACACAAAAAAATAAATCATCTTTTATGCTTTATTTAAATAACGTTTCTACAATTGATTTCTGCATACCTCCTTAGTACTGCACAAATCAGGATATGGAGTTAGCTGAATATAACCAGCTATCCTGTTGATATCAAGCAAAAAATTGCATGCAAGGGCAAACCATAAAAAAAAAAAAATCTGGTTTAAAAATTATAAGAAAGCTGGATTTGCAGCTAGAGCAAGGCAGAGTCCTCGAAGAGTGAAGGACAGTTAGGGTACACTTCTATGTTACAATGTTCAGAAAATAGGTTTGTGTGTAAAGTACAACGCGTAAAAACATACACAAAACCTGGTTTATTGTTTAAATTTAGTTATGTGCCTCCAGGAATCAACTCTTTACAAACGGAGCAAAATAGCTCGGATCCCTTAAAAGTACACGGAATTCCCATCAGGAATGTAACACAATGACGGAAGCTGGGGAGCCTCTGATAGGCTAAGCCTTCTGCAGTGGGCACAAGCTACGGCCAGTGATTGGCTAGTTTCCGTGCTGGCATCGTTCCTGGGGCTGCTGGTGTTGGTGACCCAGCAAGACAGTGAGACTGTACGCTGTGGGAGCCATGTTGATGCCTGTTTTTGTGTCAAACGGTACACTTTGGATGGTTAAAGGACTGCCTCTGATAGACTGGAAGCCAGAGCGGTGATTTCCCAACCGCTATGAGAAGAGAGTACCTCGCTGGGATGGTACAGAGCGCCCTCGAGGAGAACTGGTTTTAATTCACCGGGCAGCTGATTCAAAGCAAATGAAGTTGATGCTAGTTAGCTTGGTAGCAACAGCTGTGCAGACGCTGCGTGGGATGCAGTTTCTGGATTCTTACGATATTCTTCCTCAGTTTGTTGCCTTTTGCTGAGCGGACGTCAACCCGGCAATTGGGACTCGCTTCTTAAACCGCTCCTTTAGCGCTGTTGATTTTTTATATATAAAAGATGGCTTTGTAAAGCTAGCTAACGTTAGCATGCTGACAACCAGTCCGCATCTTTCGTCACGACTGTTTGTTAGCTGATGGGGTTCTAACTTGGTGTCTCTCTAGGGCTGTTTGCCACTAGTTTGAGGGAGGAAAATAGCTTAAATAAGCCAAATAGAATTATGGTGGTGAATTCCGTCTCCGGACAAAACTACCTGTTCGCCTCCCCAGCCTGCCGATGAGCAGCTAACGGGTTTAGCAGCAGAACTTTGCTCCAGCGGGTGTCTCACAAGCTGCAGAGCCCTCTTTTTTTCTCCCCCTCCTTAACCGAGCCCTTACCCGAAGCAAGCTGGCGGCCCTTCGAGTAGAAGCCGAGGACAAGGAGCTGGGGCCCATGGCCTGGGTGCTGAAGATGGACGATGCCACTATCGAGTCGGGGCTGGTGCACGATTTCGATGCTAGCTTGTCTGGCATCGGGCAGGAGCTCGGGGCTGGAGCTTACAGCATGAGGTTAGAGACGGACGCTGCTTTCGGGCAAAAACACACACTTTCTTCATGTTTGCACGTTAAAGATGTTCGCGCGAGAGCTGGGTTATAATCCCCTTTGTAGTGTGTTGTAAATGTTCTTTGTTTTCAGGTTTGCAGTACAACAGTCACAGCAGGGTGCCACGATCGGGGTCAAACATTAGACCCACGAGACTGTAAATGGAAAAATACCGTTTCATATTGTGTGTATGTTGGGGGAGTAAACACGTCAGATCAGTTGATCCTGTTCCCTACACAATGTGTTGCTACAACATATATACAAACTTGCTCTCAATGAGGAAGTGCATAGAAAAATGACGTAGCTGTTTATCTCTATCTTGAAACAAAAGGTTTTCCTGCTCACATCTTAGTCTGCTGTTGACACACTCACTGTGTCTTGGATTACAGGAGAGAGTAATGAATGTAGAACACAAGTTTGTGTAAGCAAGGGAGGTACTTATTGTGAACTTTACCTATTTATTGATCTGTGCAGTAATGATTAATTCATTCTGCGCTCTTATGTAAAACCTAGACATGATGGGTTCAAGGTATGTGAACCTTGAATGAAAATAACGTAGTATTTGCTTAAAAGAAACTAAATGAATGGATGGATGGGTACACTTGAATTCAGAAAGTTGGTTAAAGAAAATGTAACTGTGAAAAATATCCCAAAACTAGGATGTTCTAGAGTTAACTGTCATATAGGGATGCAGCTAAAGACTATTTTGCCCATCGATTAATCTGTCGATCCTTTTTTTTTTAAGATTAACAGCCAGATTGCGAAAGTTTCCTTAAAGATTTTACACAGAATTTAAACCAGTTAAAGCTTAATCTGTGCCCTTAACTTCTGGATAGACCATATATAAATGGACAAATGTTTTTCAATTTGAGTGCAAAATGTTTTGTTAAATTTATTTTTGATTAGTTTCAGATCCGTCGCTCCTACCAGCATGTTCTTTAATTAGTCATTTTTATGCAGATACAATTGAGTAACATTTTGTCCTTTTTCAAATTCCTACAGATATGTTGTTCACCGTATTTTAAAGTGCTTAATCTTAAAAATACATTACCTCAATGTAGGGTTGTCACGATACTAAACTTTTCAACTCGATACCGATACTAAGTAAAATATTCGATGCTCGATACCCTTTTCGATACCACAAGAATAAAAACAAAGACTCTAAAATTCAACAGAAATATTTTAATTACTAAAAAAATACAAGAAATAAAAAAAAAACAATAAGAATAATATTTTGAGGTTGTATGCTGTGCACAATATTAAGCAAGCTTGATAAAGAACTTACAAAATTAAAATTAAGTTTTCCTTCCTTGGCTATGTTTTGCAGACATAACAATGACACTGGCCAAACCAGTTAAAAAACAAAAATAATTCTCAGCAGCTGCACCTGTTACAAAAAAAGTCTGAAACTGAAAAATGCACAGAATTATTTAATCACACAGTGTTCAGAAAGTGCATTGTCCTCTATTCTGCACTTTAGATGGCTGTATCGATACTTGGGTTAGGGTTAGGGTTAAAATGAGTATTGTATCCGGATACATCGTTTCAGTATCGATAATTTTTTGAGTATCGATATTTTTGACAACCCTACCTCAACTAAATTGATTAGTTTGCACTTGTTTAGATTAGTTACATATGACTTGTGATATTACTTTAACATGTGTTGATTTCCTGCATGGTTTCACCTAAAGTTAATTGGGTTTCTTTTGGTCAGGGTCATCTGCCATATTTCATAGGTCAATTAGCTAGAATGAAACATAGATGCCGAAAATGAAAAAAAAAAAAAAAAAAAAAAGTTTGAAGAAAGTATTAAGATCTTATATTTTCTTTGCCTGTTTATCTTATTAATATACTGGATGCGTGGGTATGTTTATTTGAATCATTGGGGAAAGTTTTCCCTTTCCTTATATATAGATATTTATAAAATTATTTAGGAGATAAAATGCATATGTTGGTAATTATTTTTTGGCTGTGTGTTAGTTAACTGGAATGAGTCTCCAATTAAAAATTACACAACATCAGGTCAATTTGGCTAAAGCCCTCTTGAGGGTCATCATAAAACCTATTCCTTATAATGTCCAGGTGTTTAACTAGCATTTGTTTGCCAAACGTTTTGCAAACATAACATTGGATAATAAAAAATATGATAACTTAAGATTTAACTTAAATAAACTAATAATAAAATTATAGGTTCCTGTTATGTAGTTATTTAGTGAACTGTGCTAACTGTTTGTATAGGGCCTCCATTTAGCTGCATGAGACATGCCACTCTTGGTTTCCAAAAAATAGTTTTAAAACAACTGTCTGCTGGGGTAATCCAATGACAACTCATGAATCAATGTTCTGCAACATTTAGATGCATCCCGGCCTAGGAACATATGAATCAAATGGCTGATTTATCTCTTCCAACATGTCATCGGGTTCTGCTGATCCTCGGTAATGATCCATTGGTTTGATTTAAAGGGTGCTACAGCAGAGCTGTGTTGGAACAATTGTAAAGTTGTTGGGTGATGGATGGACAAAGTGTTTGGATTTGCTTTTTTTTGTTTTCTTCTTAGTGCTTGCTAAAAGCAAGGGACTTGTATTGTAGCCTTCTTTCAGCCAGCTAGCTTTGCAGCTATCTAAATTCAGCCTGGTTCATTCTGGTGTCCCATTAAAATGAGTTGCAACGATTTAAAAGAGCATGACCTATATTAGCTTGTTTTCTTTTTTTGTTTAAAGCTATAGCTTTATAAACCCTCTGTGTTCATTAATACCAATAACTGGCCCATGTCTAGACAAGAGTACAATTTGTAAGTTACTAAGAGTTTTTGTCTATTTAACCTGCCATTTGCTAGAAGCATAAAATGCATCATGTTCCTAACTCTCTCGATTGTTGAAAGCATCCTAATCCCTTTGAATTTGCATCAGTATACGGGGTCCATCAGATGTTAGTCGGCTGTAGATTTCTTAGCCTATATGCTCGTATTCAGTTTCGCTCTGAAATGCTTCACACATTGCCAGTAGTTTTTGCACTGTCCCCCTTTCTTCAAATTCTGTAATTTGGATTTTTAAATATTTGCAGAGCCCAATACCAGAGCTCTGTTTGCTTTAACAACATCATCAGCACTGATTTTTTTTTTCTTTTATTCTTCTTCCATAAAGTCCTTTCTACAAGCAAGTATTAAATGTATACATTTATATCACAAAATGCAATTGGTGTTCAGTAAAAGGTCAGAAAAGAAAGTCGTTAAAAACAATAAATTGAGTTTAACAGGACAGATTGAATTCTGAAAATGCATGCAAAGGGTTTTAAAAGGGCCCATGAAGTAGGGTTGTCAAAAGTATCGAAACTCAAAAAAGTATCGATACTGAAATGTTGTATCCGGATACAATACTCGTTTTTAAAAGTATCGATACAGTGCCGTCACCAGTGGCACCTGAGCAGTCATTCATCTAAAGTGCAGAATAGAGGACAATGCACTTTTAGAACACTGTGTGATGGAATAATTCTGTGCTCTTTTCAGTTTCAGACTTTTTTTTTTGTAAGAGGTGCAGCTGCTGAGAATTATTTTTGTTTCTTAACTGGTTTGGCTAGTGTCATTGTTATGTGTGCAAAGCATAGCCAAGGAAGGAACACTTAATTTGAATTTTATAAGTTTTTTTTATCAAGCTTGCTTAATATTATGCACAGCATACAAGCTTTATTGTGTTTATTTATTGTATTTTATTTATTAATGAAAATATTTCTGTTGAATTTTGGAGTCTTTGTTTTTATCCTTGTGGTATCGAAAATGGTATCGAGTATCGAATATTTTCCTTAGTATCGGTATCGAGTTGAAAAGTTTAGTATCGTGACAACCCTACCATGAAGGTGCAAACTTTCCTGCTTTTCAAGAGATATTTACTCTTAAATCTATTATAGAAATGGACTGAACTCATCAGGCCCATTTTCACCCATCTTTTGCTGCAATACTGGGACTGATACAGATTAATGTTGGAATGTCTGCAGCTGGAATGGTCACTGCACCAGATCTTGGTTATGAAATCATTTATTTTGTGGTGGTCAGCATGGACGGTCCATCTGCATAGACTTCTTTCACATCTTTTTTAGATAGACCCTAGCAGACATTGTAGTGAAGCACCTGTTCCCTTACTAGGGTTTCACTATGTCTGCCCTGCGTTATCTAAGAGGTCAGTGGGATGGGGGGTGATATTTCGCTGTGCGGGGCAAGACCTCCAGGGATGAGCATGTGTTTATCAGCAGCCACTTTGCTCCTTCTGCCTGCTTATCTGTGTGTGACGTAGGCGTGTGCCAGTCGTCCATGAGTGCAAGTGAGTTCAACGGTGCTGAATTCATGGTATGCATGCAAGTGAATTAGTGAAAACAGAGAGTGTGCTATCTGTGATGCTGGGCTGGGTTTGAACCCGGTAGCTGGTGGGAACAAAATGTCTTCATGTTTTGTTTTTTGTTTTCCTGGATCACACTCTTCAGGTTTCAGGAGGCCGGTATAGGTCATGGTGTGATGGTATGGATGGCTCAGGGTTACAATAGAATAGATTGCAGAGACAGTTTTTCAAAGGAAAGGGGAACAAACTAGACATTCCTGCAGGCTGTTTCGCTCATGACTCACAATAACATTCTTATAAAATGACACCTTCTGCAGTGTAGGGCTTTGTTTTTCTTCATGCTTGCTTGTTTTTAAGTGCAAACAGACCCCCCATTTGACACCCCATCAGTGTTTGTCAGGGATTAAGGAGGACTGGTGATGACGTGTGAGGGGTAACATGTGAGCAGATGCATCCATCTCTAGGCGTTTCTGATCATTCATCAAGGTGAAGCCTCATGCATGTATAATAGGAGACCATTGATCAACGAAACCGCTTTATCACCTCTAAAATAGGCTCATTTGTTTAATAATTTAAGGCGGAGTTAATCCATGACAAATGTTCTTGGAGATAAGAATCGAGGGGGATCTTGTTTTGAAAAATTGAGGCAGTGTTTTTTTTTTTTTTTTTTCCAGATGTTCGTGATACGTGGCAATAAAGATAATTGTTACAGAATGACTTAAAAAGATTGAAGAGTTGAGCTGAGCTACATTTAGGACATTTTTTGGTCTTTAATGAAGTTCTTCAGATATCTTCTTGATTGTGGCATTTTCTAAATCATACTGTCTCTGTCTTTCAGTGATGTGCTGGCTCTGCCCATCTTTAAGCAGGAGGACTCCAACCTTCCACCTGAAAGCAAGACCAAAAATCCTCCATTCCAGTATGTGCTGTGTGCTGCCACCTCGCCTGCTGTCAAGCTGCACGACGAGACGCTTACTTATTTAAATCAAGGTAACGGTCAAAGTGCAATCAAAATAATTATCCTGGTTTGTTTCATTCAACTAAGCCCCTGTAAGCTTCCTGCAAACTTGCAACTCTAACTTTTGGACTCAACTATATTAATTGGATTTATTCGTATTAAATCAATTGATTTAGGAGACATTTTTGGCTTTTACAAGTTTTGCTTTATTGTGATCTGTTGTTTTTTTGGATGTCGGGGTCGTTCAGATTTCTATATGATGAGAGTCTGAAGTTCCCCACATGAGTGACAGAAGTCATGATCTCACACATGTCATGCTGTGTTTACAGAAGTCAATATGAACAGGTGTAACTGCCTAACACAGGTGGGCGAGTGTTGGGTTAGTTTTTGCAGTATTACTACTCAATATGCTCAGTGCAAAAAAGACGAGCTGTCAGGATTGGCTTATTTTAAGTAACAGCCTCTAGGATGTGGTTTATTTGATGGTACAGGTGCTGGTCATAAAATTAGAATATCATGAAAAAGTAGATTGATTTCAGTAATTCCATTTAAAAAGTGAAACTTGTATATTATATTCATACATTACATACAAACTCATATATTTCAGATGTTTATTTTGTTTAATTTTGATGATTACAAATGACAACAAATGAAAATCTCAAATTCATCATATCAGAAAATTAGAATATTGTGAAAAGGTTCAAAATTGATGGCCCCTGGTGCCACACTCTAATCAGCTAATTAACTCAAACCACCTGCAAAAGCCTTTAAATGGTCTTTCAGTCTAGTTCTATAGGCTACACAATCATGGGGAAGACTGCTGACTTGACAGTTGTCCAAAAGACGACCATCGACACCTTGCACAAGGAGGGCAAGACACAAAAGGTCATCGCTAAAGAGGCTGGCTGTTCACAGAGCTCAGTGTCCAAGCACATTAATAGAGAGGCGAAGGGAAGGAAAAGATGTGGTCGAAAAAAGTGTACAAGCAAGAGAGATAACCGCACCCTGGAAAGGATTGTGAAACAAAACCCATTCAAAAATGTGGGGGGGATTCACAAAGAGTGGACTGCAGCTGGAGTGAGTGCTTCAAGAACCACCACACACAGACGTATGAAAGACATGGGTTTCTGCTGTCGCATTCCTTGTGTCAAGCCACTCTTGAACCACAGACAGCGTCAGAAGCGTCTTGCCTGGGCTAAAGAGAAACAGGACTGGACTGCTGGTGAGTGGTCCAAAGTCATGTTCTCTGATGAAAGTAAATTTTGCATTTCCTTTGGAAATCAAGGTCCCAGAGTCTGGAGGAAAAGAAGAGAGGCACTTCATCCACGTTGCTTGAAGTCCAGTGTAAAGTTTCCACAGTCAGTGATGGTTTGGGGTGCCATGTCATCTGCTGGTGTTGGTCCATTGTGTTTTCTGAGGTCCAGGGTCAACGCAGCCACATACCAGGAAGTTTTAGAGCACTTCATGCTTCCTGCAGCTGACCAACTTTTTGGAGATGCAGATTTCATTTTCCAACAGGACTTGGCACCTGCACACAGTGCCAAAGCTACCAGTACCTGGTTGAAGGACCATGGTATCCCTGTTCTTAATTGGCCAGCAAACTCTCCTGACCTTAACCCCATAGAAAATCTATGGGGTATTGTGAAGAAGAAGATGCAATACACCAGACCCAACAATTCAGAAGAGCTAAAAGCCACTATTAGAGCAACCTGGGCTATCATAACACCTGAGCAGTGCCACAGACTGATCGACTCCATGCCACGCCGCATTGCTGCAGTAATACAGGCCAAAGGAGGCCCAACTAAATACTGAGTGCTGTACATGCTCATACTTTTCATGTTCATACTTTTCAGTTGGCCAACATTTCTATAAATCCTTTGTTTTTATTGGTCTTCAGTAATATTCTAATTTTCTGATATGATGAATTTGAGATTTTCATTTGTTGTCATTTGTAATCATCAAAATTAAACAAAATAAACATCTGAAATATATGAGTTTGTATGTAATGTATGAATATAATATACAAGTTTCACTTTTTAAATGGAATTACTGAAATCAATCTACTTTTTCATGATATTCTAATTTTATGACCAGCACCTGTATGTGTTAGCATAATAAAATAGAAGGTAGAGGTAAGATTCCAACATTATCAATAAGTGGTTTCCATATCACTTATTTATATAAAAACTTTTATCTTAGTTTAGGGTCTTAGTTTGCTATGAACTCAGAACAGAAAGCATGAACGCATCAACTTCATTGCATGTTTTCCCAGCATCATGCACCCATAGTCTAGCGCCATTGGTGACATATGCAGTGTCTGGGTTGTTCATTGTTTATGTTTGCTCTTGGCGCCTCCAACTCCTTCTGTTAGTAATTAAGTCATTTTTTTCCACCATTCAGTAATGTAAATGTTCCATAAAATGCATCCATTCAGACATATGACAAATGCACATCTGATTTTAGGTCGCATGTCAAATGGTACTTGTTTTTTTTGTTTTCTGTTCTTGATTTATTAAAAATAAGTTTTTAAAAATTAAGTTCTAATATTTATCTCCCTTGAATGAATGTTAGAATTCTAGATTTTTTATATGTTTTTAAAGTAGCGTGTTCTGGTTAACGGTCCAGGAATTCTGAATATGTATTTTTGTGTCAGACCATCTGAAGGAACATAAGAAAAAACAGTTGCTTTCAAAAGACTTGACAAAAAAAATAGCCGTAAGTTTTGTATCAATTAATGCAGAAATAAAAAGCAATTATAAAGAAGCCATGCATCTGTTGCTGAACAACAATGATTCATTTTAGTGATCACGTAATTATCAGTTAAGTACAGGAAGATAAATAAATGCTATCACTACTACAACCAGAAATAATTACTTATAAGTAATAAATAACTGTTTCCTGAATGAATAATATGTGAATATAAACAACTAAAGAAAACGTAAACTTAAAAACAAACATCAATAAATGTAAAACAAAACTTTAAAATATTCATTTCATTTTATAAACTCCCGCCTTTAGTGTTTCTTACAGTTAAAAACTAAATCTTTTGTATCACAGCATTTTATTTTAAAAACTGTTAAACCAAACATAAGGATCCGCTTTCAAGTTATTGTCCCAGTGAAGATTGAGAATATGCTCAGAGATGCACCTATAACCGGCGTGTTTTTGTTTTTATTTTGAAGATTGCTAAAACATCCCATGTGTCGTATAAAGCTCTAATCACCTTATCAGTCAGACCCCTATGATCACTGTGAACCAAACAATGTAAATAATGGGTTTAATGGTAACCATTGTTCAGCTGACTGTATGGCTGTATGTTCAGCCCTTTGTCTCAAATGTAAACATTGTCTAAACCTTACCTCATAATCCAAGAGTCTATTTTCAGCCATCCTGCATTTTTGTTCTTCATTTTCTGATCTGTTCAGATCTCTTTCCCTTTGTTTTTAAATCTCAGTTATGTATATGTTACAGCATCCCTTGGTGTTTGATTTTTGTCATAATTTGAAGTAATATTGCTGATATCTGGATCAACCAGGATATTCTTATTAACCTATGCACTGAGTAGCTTGCAGTTTACCTCAACTTTCTCTCATTTAGGCCAGTCTTATGAGATCCGTATGTTGGACAACAGAAAGACGGGGGAGCTGCCAGAGCTCAACAACAAGATGGTGAAGGTAAGAGCCGTTAAAACTTGATTACAAACATCTGCTCCTCGCGCCTTGTGCTCTTCATACCTAATCCGCACGTGTTTGTACGCAGAGCACAGTACGGGTAGTGTTTCACGACCGGCGGCTGCAGTATTCGGAGCACCAGCAGCTGGAGGGCTGGAGGTGGAATCGTCCTGGGGACCGTCTCCTTGACATCGGTAATGAAGGAAACATGCTCACAAACGTTTACTCTCTACTGTCCCTTGTGTTAGCGTGTGACGTGCAGCTTAAATATCTCTGCGTCTGAAACAGATATCCCCATGTCAGTGGGCATTGTTGAGCCCAAGACTCACCCCTCCCAGCTCAACGCTGCAGAGTTTCTATGGGACATGAACAAAAGAACTTCTGTTTTCGTGCAGGTAACAAAAAAACATCCCCCTGTGCATCAACCATGCTTGCTCTTTTTTTGCTAACACCGGCGCCACAGTATTTCCACATCAAACATATTTTGATGAAGCTGTCCTCCATTCTGTCTGCAGGTGCACTGCATCAGCACAGAGTTCACTCCCAGGAAGCATGGCGGAGAGAAGGGCGTCCCCTTCAGGATCCAGATCGACACCTTCACCCAGGGAGGCGGTGGAGAGTACACAGAGCACCTCCACTCCGCTTCTTGTCAAATTAAAGTCTTCAAGGTACACAGTCAGGCTCTCTGCGTAGCCTTTGAACCTCTCCTTTATCATAGTTGTTGTTGTTTTAACAAGTCTTCTCCTTGTTCAGCCAAAGGGGGCCGACCGTAAGCAGAAGACTGACAGGGAGAAGATGGAGAAGCGTACCCCTCAGGAGAGGGAGAAATACCAACCTTCCTATGATACCACTATCCTATCAGAGGTCAGCATGTTTCTACTACGAACTAACAGGCTTTTTTTGAGACTTCTGCAAACTTTAAAATATTGTAATTTTTAGTCTAGTTTCCATTAGTTGAAAACATTAGTTTCTCCTCTAAATGAACATCCATCAAAATACTGTAAGCAATAATCTCTAGCGGCTATAATTTAATGAGCAGAACTCCCGTTCATTTGAAGCCGTCCTCTTCTCAATGTGTGGATTTTACTCCACTGTTACATCACAGTTTTTCTCGTTAAGTTGCCATCTAAACTTCTTTGGTGGGGGCTCCAGAGCAGAATCAGGTTGTATGTTTTATTGATAGAAATACACTAAACCATACTAGCTTTCATGTCCCTGCAGTAAGTGAAATTCTCATCCTATTACTGTAACTATGGTGCACTGTTATTAAGAAACTTTACACCTCTGCTCTCCAACGGGTACCCATCCTCTTATATAATGTGTAGGTTCCCTCTGGAGTGGCTGTAACCACTTCCTGCAACTATGAGAGCAGTCTGGTTTGTGCTTTGAGGTTGTTTGCGGTGACGCAAAAACAGGCTTATGTAGTCAGGTTTTGCATCCTTCTCTGGTACTTCACACCTTTTACTATAGTAACAAACAGCCCTGCACTATAAACATACCCTAAAATAGAGCACACTATCACATTATTGAAAATGACAATCAGATTCCACCTCCTACTAATATAAGGGCTTTTCTTTATTTCCTTGCAAGCCTTGTAAACTTGAAAGAATTTATTTTGTCTTAGTGTTCATTTATAGCTTTCTATGTTTACTTATACAATAGAGGTTTTTTAAGCACGCTTGTTTAAAGGCAATTTTTTTTTGTCTGAAATGGATTTGGTAAATAGGCTTTGCATGAGATCCTTAAGCTCATTCTAGGATTATTTTTCTAGCTTTTTAATTTTCGGTTCATCCAGAGATTAATCTAACAGTTAGAGGATGTTATTTTTCTCATCTTATTACTAAGGCCACTTTAATAATTTCTCAGTTTAAGAAATGTGTGTAAAGAGTATTAAGAATCCCGTTGCTTATTCTATTCAACAGGTTTGTGCCCAAAAAAAGATAATTCAATCATATTTGAAAATATATCTAAAACAATAAAGTCATAAAGTCTGCAGACATTCTGTAACACAACCAACACATTTAGCTTTATTATTCCATGATTGGGATTAATATAAGCCAACTTTTGCACCTTTTTTCTTTTCTCATGTGTGAAGCTAAACTATTGTGACGATCAACAACTTTGCACGAGAGCAAATGTAATTTGACTAATTAGAGCCCAGTGTGACGAGTGTACTGAGGGAAACGGCTGTAGTCACATCCAGCCAGGGCAGACTCTGTCCTTTCCTCCCTTCCTCATAACCTTTGCTTTCATCCTTTTGGCTTTGGCTTGATCAGAATACATCCACTTGTAGCTTCTCTACCTCCCGTTTCTTACTTCCATCCCTTCACGTTTTGCAGCATCAACAGTACGAACGCTATCAAGGAAAAAGGAGCTGTGGATTGTTGTCCTGAATCCGGATAGCTTACAGCCTTAAGATTATTATAAATGGACATGCACATGATTGATGCTAGTCAAAGTGGGACTACAGCCTTCTAGAAATTTACAGCAATAAACAAAAGTAAGACAAATGAAGCTCTTCGTTATAAAGAAAGCACAGGTGGGCACACAGAGCACACTTGAAGTGATGTATTTTTTTTAAGCTCTATAAAGGGAGACATGCCTGTATGTCTTGTCACGCAAAGAATTGTGGGTAAGGGTTTAGCTCCTGGTGGCAGCTAGGAATAGCATGAGGTCCCTATGCTAAATGAATTGTTGGCAGGAAGCCTCCTGTTTTCTAGTCCTAGCCCCTTCCTTACTGCCAGCTTCATTCCAGTAGTACCTATGGGTGACTGCTGAAGAACCCTTACTAATTTATTTTGTTCTCCTCTTGTCCCTCATTGTGACCTTTCCTCTTTCTTTACTTCTCTTCCCTGTTTATTTTAGCTCTATTTCCTTGTAACCCTTCTTCTGCATTCTCTTTTCCTTTTTTCTATGCGTCCTTGTGCACCTTTGGGTCCTCCTTCCTTTTCATTTCATTCTTTCCTTTATCGCAGTTATCTGACCTGTGTCCATTTTTTCGGTTCCTCCCTTCTTTCTCACTTTTTCTTTCTTGATAAAAGAATGCTAATGTACACACCTTTATGTTTTCGAGTTTTAAAACAAAGTGCTTCTGTCTTTCTTTCTTGATCTTGCCCTGTCTTCCTTCCTCCATGTCCATTCCTCTTTATTTTCTCTTTCTTCATTGTTTCCTTTCCTCTGTCCTTCCTGTTGGCCTTTTTTTTCATTTTCATCCTGGTGTCCTTTTATTTCATTCTTTTAATTTGTTCATGTCCTTTTTATTTTCACTTATTTCAAGATAGTTTTTTTTGTATCACTTCCCTTTCCCTCCTTCATGCCCTTTCTTATTTCTTTTGTCCTTCATTTTACTTCCTGCCTTTAATTTCTTTCTGTTCTGTCTTTCCTTCCAGTCTGATTTAAATCAGTGGAAATGACTCATCATTTTAATGTAGAAAGTTTATTTTTTAAACACATGGAGAGAAAAAAGCTTTTAGAACCTGAGAATAGAGGTCAGGTCTCAGAGCTCGTATTTTGGTTCGTAGTGAGAAGTCCTGGATCTGTGTGTCTATGTGAGTCACTGGCTGCTAACCTCTGCTGTGTGTCTCTGTGTAGACGAGGCTTGAGCCCATCATTGAAGATTCGGGCGACCATGAGCTGAAAAAGTCCAGCAAGCGGACACTTCCCGCTGATTGTGGTGACTCCTTGGCCAAGAGAGGCAGTGTAAGCAGCCTGCTCTCCTCCCCCCCTTTCCTTCTGGTCACACCATCCACAGTCTGTCTACATTTTAGACTCCTAGACATTCAGCCGACGTAAAGGGGACGGTAGAACACTAAATATTTGTGATTAGGAAGATTGGAGCTGATGCAAAGATACATTCCTGGTATTTATTGACTTCTCCATAGGTTTTGCATATAGGTGCAATAAAGATTTTTTCTCTTTATCATTAGTTTGTCTGCAATCACTGCATTATTTATGGACATGTGTGTGTCTGCTCAGTGCTCCCCATGGCCAGACGCCGCCTACACCAGCACCAACCAGGCAGCTAACCCTTCCTTCTCCTCCACCCCTCTCTCCACCTACACCACCTCCTCTGTGCTGGACAGGTAATTCATTTGCATTCTGTGATTAGTTAGATTCATGCCCTTATTAAAATGTCATTTATTCTGTTAGCGGTGTTGATTGTTGTTTTTGTCATTTTCCAGTGACTCATCCTCCCCCAATCACCAGGTGGATCCTGGTGGCCACAGCAACTCAGAGGTTAGTATCTAATTACATGTCTGCTTCAATTGGAAGAGTATTGTCTTTACTTGACTGATTTTTATCCCAATTGGACATTTTTAAGTTTCTATATGTTAAGATATCAGTCAGATTTCCGGGGATTTATTAGATTAGATTAAATGAGCTTTATTGATCTCACAGCGGAGAAATTCACTGGTCACATATTGGCATAGTAATTAAAGAAGGTGCAAACAAGGAGGAAAAGGTGCATTAAGAATAAACAATATATACAGTATATCAAGATAAATAAGGATTATAATCCGAATAATAAGGATTATTAAAACAAAGAACAGAGTTCTTCAACAGTTAGAACAGTCACTGCTTTACAAAGCTACTCCACTTAATGTCATTCAGGAAATATAATCTCTGTTATATTGATATGATTTTTTCTTTCTTTCTTGGCAACAATTTATTTACCAAAGGAAAGTCCAAATAATAAATCAGTTCAGTTGAGGTTATTCTTGATTGTACTTCAACAGATATAGAGAAATGTCCCAGGCTGCATCTCAAAGCAAACAGTCATCCTTGGTCTGTTTGCGCCTATCCAAAAATACATGGAGCACCCAGAGATTGATTTTAGTTACTTAATAAAGCCCCCAACACTCTGAAGATATTTTTTATGTGGATATTTCGTTCAGTTCCGCTATTAACAAGATAAAAATTACACCAAATGTTATGTGTAAATTTCATAAAAATAAATAACTATAATAATAACAAATAAAAGGCACGATATTAACAACAGATAACAGACGGAGTGACGCATGCGGCTCACATGATCTAAGGCATGGCTGTTGAATGCACTAATGAATTCTCCAACACATGCAAATATCAGCCGTAACAAGGAAAAAAAACAATCGACCAAAAATACCAGCCGGGTGATGAACTGGTCGATCCCTAATAGCAGTGAAATGCTATGCATCTTGCAGTTATTTAAAGATTGTTTTGATAAAACAAATTGAGTTGTAAGAAATAAACTATCATTTCTTGTGTGTTTGCAGCAGTTGAGCCCCACTGCCTCCATACAGGACACGCAGAAGTGGCTGTTGAAGAACCGCTTCAGCTCCTACACTAGACTCTTCTCTCATTTCTCAGGTTCGTACAGCTTTGGCTTCAGTCATCTGGAAATAATTGATAACAGGCTTCCTTTTTGGGGTGATTTTTAATCGACTAAGGATTGCTTTAAGAGGAAAATGCTTCTTTGACATATAGAGCAACTTTTAGATGAACACATTGCTATACTTGCACCTGGTGCATGAGTTCAAATCGAGCACTTTTGTTCCATTGATGCTAGCATTTTAGAGCTACATGGAAAAGGTACTTCTTTAAGTCCTAATATTGTAATCTAGGTCTTCTTTGTAAATAGCAGGACCATTAGAAATTATGTTATGGAGCAAAAGTTTACAAATACCTACCCTGTTCTGCCACAGGTTCTGATTTATTGAAGTTGACCCGGGAGGACCTGGTCCAGATTTGTGGGCCAGCAGATGGGATCAGACTCTTCAATGCACTCAAATCCAGGTGGGTCTATATTTGCTTGTTTATTGAGCTTGCTGAAGCACGCTTGCAGTCTGTGTGTAGGAAAAACTCAAAAGAGGGATTATATCGTTATTGCATGTTTTTGTTGTTACCGTGAGCTAAACTGCCTGTGGCAGAGTGTGAGTGTGTTAACTGACCTCTCTTAATGCAGGTCAGTGCGTCCCAGATTGACAGTGTACGTCTGTCAGGAGTCTCCTCAGGGGAGCCCTCTGCTGGAGAGACACTGCACAATTGAAAATGGAGAACACCAGAGCTCTGCTAGTTTACATGGTGAAGAAACCATTTCTTTCCTGATAGTAGTGAAATACTGATGTTTAACTTTTCGCACCAGTCTTTGACGCCATCCTCGCTCTGTCTCTACAGTGTACCACGCTCTGTATTTAGAGGAGCTCACAGCTGCAGAGCTCATCCGTAAGATTGCATCTGTGTGTGGCATTCCTTTGGGAAGGATCCACCAAGTGTACAGGCAGGGTCCTACAGGCATTCACATCCTGCTAAGTGACCAGGTATGAGCATACAGGCATATTTTTATTTAACCACGACTAACTGGATCCAACCATCTCATAACAGAGACGTTTTAATCTTATTATAGTGCATGAGTTTGAGTTATTCATTCTGCTGGTCAGGTTTAGTGTATTGGAAACATTCAAACCCATCCTTACAAATTGAATTTCTGTTTTGAGAATTTTATATAATCCATAAAAGATGTATGATTTTAGTGATTTGTCTTTGGGGTGAAAATATATAAATCTTTGGTTGAAAAATGTTATTTAACCCTCCTTTACTTTAATACTCCTTGTATTAAAATCAGAGGTAGGCAGAATACCTAAACGTGCCATGGTAAGAGTAACACTAGTCTAACATGGTTTTAGGCTAATAAGAGTAAAGAATTACAATCCGAGAAAAAGTAGGTAATAAGCCTACTCAATTATTGAGATCATCAAAATACTTAATATGATAATAAAATAATTATCAGACAAGCAAAGATAAGACATTCTGTACATATACTGATATTGTAAAGACTAAAGCCCTGAACACAAAGAACACGATTTTACATCAGATGCGATAGAAAATTGTGTCTTAAGAGGTGGCATTTAGCTCTCATTGACAGTGAATGGTGATGATCACCCGTGGCCCCGTTTTCTGCAAGGGGACTTCCATAGCTCTGACTGAGAGAGACCCCAGATCTATATTGTTGGACTATGCAGCAACTGCGACGATATCATGGGTCCGACAGGAAGGGAGTCCCGGTTACAAAGTAAAACACATCCACTTCGGGGAAAATAGAAAGTGAAATCTCTTTTCAGACTGACAGCTGTCTCAGCATTCACCGCGGCAGCAACAGCTTTCAGGGGATTGCTCAGACTAATTTGGTTAAAAGTTCACTTTTCTGTTGCTGCTGTTTTACATAAAAATGTTAAGGTCCGTTCAGGCGATTACATTATACCTTAAGCTTCACTTTATGGCCCGTTTATCTATTTAGTGCGTAATTTAATAATAGGTTCCGATGTTGAGAGGAAAGTAGCAACCAGCGGACCTCTGAAGATAACCACATCCAGGCCTTACCTTAGCCCATCTGCAGCAGCCCTCTCAGCATTGTTTTTTGTGAAAAGCTGCCAGCTCTGATGCGTTTTTTATTTTGTTTGTTTTTTTTATTTGGTAAAATATTCCTTTTGTTTGTCTGTGTTAATCATTATTCCTCAACTAAATGGGGCGGAAATGTTATGATTTATTATTACCTAGAGAATGTTCGTAACAGGTGGTGAAAAGCAGGTCCGTGCGTCTGGTGATTTCATGAGTACACTTTTGTTTCAATTTACACATATGTCCTGTATGCTCCTGTCCATACTTCCTCCATTCTTAACAAGAACGTACTCGATTAGAACATGAGTCCATACTTCCATAAACCCAAAGTAAATTTCAAGTTTTTTAACTACACTGCATCCAACAGTCTTTGTAGTTACTCAGGAAGCGCTGTAAATATTTCAATTCAGTTTGTTTATATAGCACCACTTCACAACAAAGGTCACCTAAAGGCACTTTACAGAGACTATTCAATCAGATCATGCAGCCGGATTGCTTCAAAGTTGTTTTTCTCTGGGAATGTGTGGCAGCCAAACTGGAAAAGACCAGATGAAGCTACTATGATGAGAAAGATCATAGAGTTCAAGGTTGAAATGACAAATACTGCAGAATGAGAGAATAGAGAGTATGATGAAAAATGTTTCTTATGTCCTCCAGCAGTCTAAGCTTATAGCAGCTTAACAATAAAAGATAGCTCGGGACAACATGAGCCCCTCTAACTATAAGCTCTTCTAACCTTGGACAATAAAAGTAGAGTTCATTAAATTATTTAATTGAGTTCTAAAAATTGAATAAAGCTTGCATTTCTTATATCTACATTGTAAAACATGCATTGGTTCTATCATGTTTAGCCAAAGTAAGCATGTCATTGTGGAAGGTTCAAAAAGCCACATGCTGCTCCAAAGCCAAAGGCTACAGATCCCTGGCTTAGACAAATACTTACTATTGTCAGAATGGTCTAGTTAAAGTCCAGATCCAAATGATGCTTTCTTACCATTCTTAAGAGTTTTGACTTTCAGTAATTGTCTATGGGGGAACCAGATGTTAATACAAAGCTTATGTAAAAAATTATATCAACCTTGCATAATTTTCTCCTCCTAAAAAGTTGTAGGCTGCCCCTCTCTTAGTCTGTCACATAAACCTAAGTAGAATAACTTTTAGTTTGTGATCAATGCTTTCTCAAGGCTCTGTGGCAGAACTGACCCAGAGTTCAAATAAAAATACACATTTAAGCCACAAATCTGCTGTTGTGGTCCAAGCAGAGCTGTTGTTGTCCCACTGAGCTGTGGGCATTAATCCAGATAAATTTATTATCATAGTTATTTTTAATTTATCATATAAATAAGTACAAATTAATGTTTAAAAGCTCCAGAAATTGGTGAATTTTTCCAGTTTTTTTGTTTTTTTACTTTCTCTTCCTTTTGTTCCCATTGGAGATTTGATTAATTCCAGTGGCATGATTAAATGCAGTTACTGTGGGATGTTTAGTGATAATCACACCTGTTAGTGTAATTGGTGTCCTGAAGGAACCAGTTTTAGTTTACATGGGTTTTTTTAAGAACAGTATTTGTGACTGTGGAGCTATCATTGCTGTGGCATGTAGTCACAGCCTTAGTTACCCAAGAAAGACTGCAAAAAAATTTGTGAAGAGTTTTTTGTTTTGTTTTTTTCCCTTATCCTGACTTTTATGGTTGTCACATTACTACCTAGTTCCACTTATAATCTCACTATTGACACAAATAGCTGGTCAATCTAGCCCATGCCAGCCTTATAGCACTTCAAAAAACCAAAGGGACCAAATTGCTGCACAAAAGCAAAAACAGGAAATGCACTCCAAAGAACATGAGGTGGATTAGTTATACCGGTAACTAAACTTGGTCAAAAATTTGATATAAGTTGAATTCTGTCTAGATCTTGTGCTTATTTGAAATTATTAAGTTGACAGCCAGGTTAAACAGAGCTCAGTTAGAGCAGTTATGAACTTTCTGTTTTTGGATTCAGGCAATAAAATAACCACACATCTCTCTGATTTGCTATCCATAATAATAATAATCACTGCTGTTATCCCATTACCAGATTTTCTTGGATTTCTCTAACATTGCCTCACTTGGAAATCGTATTTACAGAATATTGGCACACATTAAAGTCAAGTTTCACATTTGATGCATTTTTATTTTTCCTTTTAGATGGTTTACAACTTGTCTGACGAGAGCTGTTTTTTGATCAGCACCGTCAAAGGTAAACACATGCTTTAGTAATAAAACAGCTTCTGGTAGCAATCCACATCGTCTGTATTTGAGGATTTACTGTTCTTCTCTTACAGATGAGTTGGGCGAAGGAATTCATCTAATCTTGAAGTAGTGAGGAGCACAGATGGCGTCACTAATACTCCACGCTCTGCTATGAAACAGAAGCCTCCTTCTGTCGCTCTGCATCCTCCCCGTCTCTCTTTAACGATCACTCGATGGAGCGCAGTGACTGCGCTAAAGCCAAGTAAATGTTAGAATCTGACATGGGTGTGACCTCTGTTTCATATTGAAAACATTATTAAATGAAGGAGATCAGTTACAACGTAGAGATTGGGGAGGATTTGAGATCAGGGGGGTATTTGACATTGTTCTGTGTATTTTGATTTATTTTTTTTATATATATATATAAATATATATGGTTTCTGTGTGGAAATGGGAGGGTGCAGGCTCCAAGGGAGAGGGGTGGATGGTGCTTTGGCATGCAAGAGACAGCAGGAAGTAAAAAAGTCACCTTATTGCTTGTTGCCCTTCCTATACAACCAGCGTTAGGCCAGTATTTGATGAAACTGTACTGCTGAACAGCATGCAATCCATACCAAGTTGCTTGAAAAAGAAACTTACTCTGCTTACTTAACATTGTTTGACGGGGATGTCTTAATTAACCTTTCTCTAATTGGCTGAGCGTGTTAACTCAGAATATTCAGGGTAAATGGGTGGAAGTGCTCTCATCTTTTGGCTTTTTTTGTTAAATAATTTTATGAGCTAATATCACATAGTCTCACACTTTGTGATATAAGCTTACAGCCATATATCTGTCTGCATAACGTCTCTTTTAAGCTCAGCTAACATACGTCCATATGGCCTGTGCTTTTACAGCTTTTAGTTAATCCTTTGAGTCAGCTCTTTCTGTTGCTCTTATTGAATTTACCCTTTCTGGTGCCATACGGGCTCATTAGCTTAGCTTTTTATTCCAAAATATACACAGAGTACATTAACGTCATTATTTGACTCCTCTGTTTTTATTAAAACACTGGTTTACAGAATTCTGGAGAAATGAATTGGAAATTGGTAGATAAAACCCCTCTGTGATGCTGTCCAATGGAGCATTAGTGCCTATCCCGGAAAAAGGAAAAAAACATACTTTATAGTGGACCAAATAGGCAATGACTGATAATCGTGCTCTGAGAGGAAATAAACCACAGTGAACTTTGAATTTGTGCAAATGTTAGGAGTTTAAACTGGTTAAGAAGTAGGGGGAGTTAAACAGCTAAATTTACACTGGTGCCTAAACCTTTATGCATCAGGTGATTAACAAATCATTGAATAATTAGTTTAGGTAATTGATTTGAAAAGATAAAGCTTCATACAGACCATTAAACAGTTATCTTTTTTTTTTCTCTCTTCCCACCCCATTTGAAATTTTTTCTTTTTTTTTATGACCAAAAATCAAGCTTCTCAGAAAACTGAAGTATTACACAAGACCAATGTTTGTTTTTTTCATCCCCACCAAGTTCAGAAATGTTGAGGCCTATGCAGTCAGGTTCAAATCTTGATGGTAATACCCTCTGTGAGGAGGGTAAGCTGCAATAGGTCACTGCTTTAAAAGCTGACTATTCAGAGGGCCGCATCCGGACGTGTTCATGGAAAGTTTAGTGGAAGAAAGAGAGGAGGGGTTGTTGAAGTTAGACCAGTTGATTCAGATCATCACTATTGAACCTTTCTGACCCATAACCAACTTAGTTCCTGTTCCTTACCACCTTTTCACCTTATTTTAACAACTAAATTAAATGCAGCATCTTCTTTAACATAATAAAGGACTTTGGACCACTAAGCAATCAGACCTTTTCTTCCTACATCTAGAGAAATTGCCTCTGCCATATCTGGTTTAAGAGAAGCTTAATCAGAGGAATGGGAATATTGGCCTTCATCTCCAGGTTACATCTTTTGGAAGCAACTCTTAGAAGCGAGTCTAGCTGCAGTCAACATCTTAAAAAATGTCTCAACTCTCGATTAAGCATGGCTTCACAATATTCTCAAGAATGTACTTTTGCACTTTAAGTATTTTTTTTTTCTTCCACTCAACTTTTTATAAATACGCGTAACCACGGCTCTACAATTAGCCAACTTCTTTAGGGTTTCAATGACTTGGTTGTGTGGACCATAAAATGGCCATAACATTAAACTTGTGTATTCAACCCCCTACTTTTTTTTTTTTTTTTTTTTTTTTTTTTTTTTTTTTTTTTTGGGTCTAATGTTGTATTCTGAGAATTTCAAATTTATGGTTTCAGTGGATGTAAGCCTTGTTTATCAGAGTTGGAATATGTCTCTGTTTAATGAATCGGAGTTTCACTTTATGATTTCTGGCTGAAATGTTCTCCATGATTGATTTTTCTAAATGTCTCAGATGCTCCTGTGTGCAGCAGGACAGTGGTAATATGCCACTTTTTGATTACAAAATAAAAGGTTGGTGGTGTACCCTAGCACAGAACATACAGGTCATGTGTTTAGAGTGGCCTTACTGAAAAGTGAAAGAAAACCTTGCGACTCTGGAGGCTCTGCTTTGCTTCCAGTTTGATCCGTTTTGGCATTTTTGAAGAGGTTTACATGTGAAGGTGTCAGAATGTGTGTGTGCATGTGTATCCTTTTGTTCATTATGTCTGAAACTTTTTTTTTTCTGTTGGTAAAAGAAGTTGTGTTTAGCTTGCTACGTAGTGAAGAAGAGCATGTGGATATTTGAGAGACCCATAAAATTTGTCACTGAGTGTATCCCCTTTCTTTCCCCCTCGTTATTTTTCCATACATTAGAGACCAAGCCTGCACTGAAGAAAATCACAAACTTCTAGCTCGATGTGTAGTCAGTAGTCCTACACCCCTTCCCCCTCCACATCCTTTTCTAACTAGGTCAGAAAGAGATCGCCAAAACTCTTAAGGCTTTGAAAGCAGCTGTTTGTGTCTTGACATGCACCAGAGCCAAGACTGTAGCTCTTGAGGTGTTTATATAGACATGAGTGCTACGGCAGAGAAACCTGTGTTAATCTGACTAATTAGAATAAAGATGGCTGTAAAAAGAATGGAAAATTTAGTCTACAGAAGGCATTACCGTGAGGTCTGCCATCTGTGTGAGCACGAGCCAGAAAGAGGTGACCACTGTTAACCTGATGCTTCTCATGTGCACAGTATCATATGCTGGAGATGTACAAAACCACATGTGCTGGGAATAAATAATTTCATAACTTTGTTCTGTGTCCTGACTGTTTTTGATCAAGAACAATGCTTAGATCAAGGTCTTTGTTTAGTATTAATGCAGAAAAGGAATTTGATTGTGTTAATTGGAACTTTATCAAGTGTTGGAACCTTTTGGTTTCAATAATAAATCAGTGTAATTCATTAAAATTATATCAAAATCCTCCTGAAAGAATAAGAATAATGGTAATTTAACAAAATATTACTGCAGAGATCGACTAGGCGGGGATGCTATTCATCACCATTTATTTTTGCCATATTTATAGAACCTTAAGCACAGGCCATCGGACAAAAAGAAAAAAAATTAAAGTTAGGAGTCTTTGCCTACCTCCAAGAAATCACATCATTCCCTAATCTGATAATTACTCAATCTTTATAACTACTACTCAGGATATAATCAATGTATCTAAAGCCCAGATCTTAGCCGTTGATTATAAACCATCAAGGGAGATTTAAATAAAGTATAAGTTGTATATTTCGGTGTTTTTATCAAAAAACGTTTTATTTTATACAGTGCAAATTATGAAAAGCTAAAACAAGAGGTTCGGAAAGATATGAGATATTCTACCTTACCATTGGATTTAAATTCAAGAATTGATATAGTCAAATTAAATATAGTGCCCAGATTCCTGTACATTTTCATCCCTGACGATAAATATGCCTCCAGATCAGCTCATAAACTGGGATAGAATGATTTCACGTTTGTGTGGGAGGGAAAAAAAACCAGGGTCAGATACTAAACTCTTCAGTTCCAAAGGAAAAGGCGGTATGGGTATCCCAAATTTGATTAACTATTACTTCGCCACCCAGCATATATTGCTGGTATAAACCAGAATTTAAAACAAAGTGGAAAGAAATAGAAAAAGATTTAAAGCAAATCACTATACAACACAAGATTGGAGATAAATATTTATATAAATCCCTAAACGTTAACATGGACATAATTACAACACATACTCTAGATCTGTGGTTTAAGAATTTATAAAAGTGCAAGATTCAGAATAATGCTAGAATTTTAAGACTGATGACCTATGATAGTGATTTTTTCCAGGCAAAATTTTATTTAATCGGAAATAAAGGCATTGGACTCTAAAAGGAACGACAGCCTGGTGTATGTTAGAAACAAATGGAGATTTGGAAAGCTTTGAAACCCTAAGGAAAAAATATTAACTAGGTTCACTGGAAATCTGTAGATAATTCCAAGTAAGGGACTATTATAAAAAAAAGACATCAAGTAAGACACAGGTGTGAATGTAGTCATACAAATTATTGTTAAAGCATATCAGTACAGAAGTATTAGACTTATCTCAGTACATCAAGGATTGATTGCAAATAATAGTCATTTAACAGAATATGTTAATTTCAAATGGAAGAAGGAACTCTGTATAGAACTTACAGATGAGGAGTGGCACCAAATGTGGAAGTTTAATCACTCAACCACTAATTCACGAATCTGGAGGGAATTTACATGGAAGAATATGATCCGATTTTTCATCACACAAAAAATGAAGAGTAAACAGTCGTTAGGCCGACAGAAATGTAGACAATGTTGTGGATCTTTTAATGAAGATCATTCTCACATCTTTTGGAAATGTAAAACAAATTTATAGAAATTTGTACATATATAGAAATATAGAAATGTATACAAATTTAGTTATGGAATACAAAAGAGCTGTATGGTGCAGTATAACAGCAATGATGAATATCTAATCACAATACTTCAGGTAGAAGCCAAGAAAGCCATCACCAGGAATTGGGGAAAGGAAACAATACTAACAAAAGCCCAACGGACTTCAATTGCAGAAGAAATATTCTTGTTGGAAAAATTGGCAGTTTTTTTTTTTTTGCCAACCGCCATAAACAATCTCAAGAAGAAGTAGGGAATCATATCCGAGTCTGCGCAGTTTCGCTTACCGTTGTCCATGACGTAATTGACGTCCTCTGTCAGTATCCAGGAAGTGGGTCGGTGGCCGTTGTTTGTGTTCATTGCCCAAGATTTCTGTGCCTGATTCTTAGCTCGGTTAAAGTCGTCACGGGCCGAAATGGCAACGTTTATTTCAGTCCCGTTAAAAAAGTCATCCGAAGTGGACCTGGTGAAGCCGCTGTCGAAGTTCGTCACAGCCTCTTATCCATCTGGCGAGGAGCAGTTAGAGTACCTTCGAGCCGTGGAGGAGTTGAACAAGCTTCGCAAGAGCGCTCTGGGAAGGCCGCTCGATAAACACGAGAGCTCTCTGGAAATCCTACTGAGGTAAAAACCGACTGAAAGGCAGAAAAAATTAGCTACAATAAAAATTTAGACGAATAGAATCGACGTTACGCTTGGCTTTCTTTATTTAACTTAGTTGCCGCACCCAGAGGAGTTAGCTTCTAGCGGCTAACTTGAGAGCTAAAAAGCTAAAATTCCGGATTTATGAACACTTGTAGAATCTCGCTTATTGGTTTTATTAAACGAACTACTGTTTATCTGTCAGTCTACTTCATAACTGCTGTATTTTCTGTCACAATAACTCGTATACTGATGCTTTCAGTTGAACTGTTTCTCCCACATGAAACGCAAATTATGTTAATCATAATACAACGCTCTATTGTAACATAATAAATATGAACTAAACACACAGTGAGCGCAAACTCCAGCTTCCCTCTTTTAGCTTAGTCATTCCTGGTCTGCATCACCAGCCGATCAATTAGGAAAGAACAGCATTTTCTCATAGAGCTCTTGTAAAATCAGAAAGTGCTTTCCATACAATAAAAGCAGCAGTTTACAGATATCTAATGAAACAAATACATTACGAACTAAATTAGAATAAGCATGGAAATAAAAAATCATAAATAATAAAGTGATGAATAAAATAGTTTATTATTATTCACA